GATGCCTGACAACACCGTTCTAAACAAACATCGCCGTATCTTGGCGTACGACCATCCTGGAACAGTGACATCCCACTTGAGTTTACAACATTGACTGCTGAGAATCTCTTGGGTGGCCTATCTGGTTCTTAAATCATCTCTTTTTAATATTTTTAAGCGTTTCCAGGATCTATAAATATTAAATCCGTACCCATACGCAAAGCCTCTCCCGAGAGAGCTGTCCCAGGTGACTCAGCGGGCTGAGTAAGATGTCAGAAATATGCCTTCCCTCCCGCTGTGATCTCCTTCGTCCCAGACAGGTAGATAAATGTGTTCGTGGAGGGACTTTGGAACCCAAAGCCTTTGGAAGTTCAGGCCAGGAGACAACAGAGTTGTCTGAAGTCTGTCCAGTTGCTTCCCAGCAGGAACGTTTCCCACAGACATTAGTAATGGTTTTTGCAACCATCGACATTCTCTTTTTCTCCTCCTATGTTCCTAGCTGTCCAAACAAGTTGTGGAGATGCTGTCAGGCCACGAAGCATCGTCAGAAAGGGGGCCTCCATCCATGAGGGAATGCAACTCCTGGCCAAAGCGTCCAGGGAGGCCAGCTCAGAAAAAGGGACCTATCCTGTCATCCGTAATGTCAGCGAACTAGAAGACAATTTAAGCAACTATCAAGAGTGTTGGTTCGGTGGCGTAGAGAATGAGGGAACACGTGTTAAGAACATCAGAAGAGGGGTTATTTTTATTTATTGCAAATTAATTTCCCTGAATAAAATGCAGTTTTAATATGTATTTACAATGCTATTTTTCTAGAAAAAGAGGTGCCAGGACTCACCTCTTTTATACAATGCTTTTTTCTTTTAAAAAAAAAGTTTTGGGGGTACTCTCATTTCCCTACACATATTGAAATATTGGCCCTCAATGAGGCCAAACTTAGATTCACAAAACATTTAGGGGGGGTGTACCCCTGCGTACCCCCAGGGAAAAAAGCACTGCTTTTATATATGTTATTTTCACTGATACATGCATGTTTTCCCCATTTTTTAGCTTGAGAGCCACATCACAAAATTCAGAGAAGCAGCTGGGTAGCTGGGTTTCAGTCCTACTATTGTTTCAGGAAGTGTGCATTTATTTTTTATTTATTTATTATTATTATTATTATTATTATTATTATTATTATTATTATTATCCATCCATCTGACTGGATTGCCCCAGCCACTCTGGTCAGCTTCCAACATAATAATGAAAACACATTAAAATAACAAAGCGAAACCAACTTCTCCCCCAAAACCAATTTCTCCTACAGCCCATTGGCTTGAATGCAAAGAGCTGAGCTTCCAAACTTAGCCAATACAGTGGTATCTCGGGTTAAGTACTTAATTCGTTCCGGAGGTCTGTTCTTAACCTGAAACTGTTCTTAACCTGAAGCACCGCTTTAGCTAATGGGGCCTCCTGCTGCCGCCGCGCCGCCAGAGCATGATTTCTGTTCTCATCCTGAAGCAAAGTTCTTAACCCGAGGTAATATTTCTGGGTTAGCGGAGTCTGTAACCTGAAGCGTATGTAGCCTGAAGCATATGTAACCCGAGGTACCACTGTAGCACCCTGCACCGCTGCTTTCAAGCTTCTGCAACAGACACTCTCCCCATCAGAAATAAGGGTGTCTATGGACATTCTGTGATCTTCACACCTTCTTCTTCTTCTTCTTCTTCTTCTTCTTCGGCGATCACTCGTAGCTGAGTAAGATTGTCTTCCATAAACACGGTTTAACAATGAGTCCGTAATTGACTGTGGAGGCCACATGCTCTGAACATAACAACGTTGTGTTGACTATCCTTCACCGTTGTGTTGATTTCTTAAAACCTGGCTTTCAGTAGGCTTGTCACAAAGCGCTGTCTGGCCTTCTGGGCGAAGATGATTATCTGCCCATCTTGCCGGGGCAAATGCCTCACCTCGTTTTTGATCACAATGGTCCTCTTTGACCATATCGGTCTGCGATTGTTCCAAGCACAGCGCCTGCCTTTGTCTCCTCAACCCCCATCAGTCATCCCCTTTGCCTTTCAGCGACCGCAAAGAGTAAAAGTCCCTTGGCCAACACATCAAGACCAAAAGGACGGCTTGCCTGACTTCTCTCATGTTGAGATCAAAGGGGACTTGGGAAGGACAAAGGCACAATTGGCGGTCAGGATGCAATCGCAGGATGAAATGGGCACTGAAGTGACTTTGATGGTCTCTCAGAAATGTGTGGTTGCTCGCTCACAGCCCTACCTGTTTCCTTCAGTCTGTGCCCTTCCAATACCCTGGGAGGTTTCCCACCCTCCTCCAAACAGTATATACCGTATTGGCCCGAATATAAGCCGCACCTTTAAAATTCAAGGGGGGGGGAGAAAAAAGACAATACCCAAATATAAGCCGCTCCCTTAAAATTACGCAGGCGCTCACACCCGTTCCGTTTTACCGTATGTCTGTTTCAGCAGCGATATCATAAAAGCCAATTTTTTGTAAGGTCACGGATTTAAGCCACACTTTAACTTTTCATGGTCAGAATTTGGGGGAAAAGTGAGGCTTATATTCAGGCCAATACGGTATACAGTGGTACCTCGGGTTACATACGCTTCAGGTTACATACGCTTCAGGTTACAGACTCCGCTAACCCAGAAATAGTACCTTGGGTTAAGAAGTTTGCTTCAGGATGAGAACAGAAATCTTGCAGCGGCAGCGCAGCGGCAGTGGGAGGCCCCATTAGCTAAAGTGGTACCTCAGGTTAAGAACAGTTTCAGGTTAAGAACGGACCTCCGGAATGAATTAAGTACTGTATCACTGTATACATATTTTTTTTGTTTTCACTTATTTATACAAAAAGCAACGGTCAATATTCAACCATCACTCCCCAGCCCCCCCAATAGAAAAAAAATGCCTATTTAATTACATTTACTGTTTCAGCCATTTCAGTTTTTAAACAAAAGGGGTCATTCTGCAAGTTGCCAGGTGTCCTCAGAAGCCTATAACCATGTTGCATATGGAAGAAGAAGAAGAAGAAGAAGAAGAAGAAGAAGAAGAAGAAGAAGAAGCATGCTAAACTGATTTTGAAGGAAGGTTGAAATAAAAAGGAACTCTTGCACAGGAACAGAGGAAGCTACCTTAGGCGGAGTCAGACCAGTCATCCATCTAGTTCAACATTGTCTGCACTGACTGGCAGCAGATGCTGGAGAGATTGAACCTGATGCATAGGGCATGCATAGCAGAAGCTCTGTGACTGAGAGCCAGTGTGGTGTAGTGGTTAAGAGCAGTAGACTCGTAATCTGGTGAACCGGGTTCGCGTCTCCGCTCCTCCACATGCAGCTGCTGGGTGATCTTGGTCTAGTCCCACTTCTTTGAAGTCTCTCAGCCCCACTCACCTCACAGAGTGTTTGTTGTGGGGGAGGAAGGGAAAGGAGGTTGTGAGCCGCTTTGAGACTCCCGAAGGGGAGTGAAAGGCGGGATATCAAATCCAAACTCTTCTTCTTCTTCTTCTTCTTCTTCTTCTTCTTCTTCTTCTTGACCCCTTTCCCAATTTGTTATTGAGCATTTTAAGGGGGGAACCTACTGCGCTCTTTCCGGGGTAGTTTGTGAACCTCTGGTCCTCATCCTGCCCTCAGCTCTCACCTGTGGCTTCCTAGGAGCTGTCAGTATGTGACAGCAGCCATCCCGCAGGAACGGCTTTGAGACTATCAACAGCTTCTAGCCCCAATAGCTTTGCTTTTCCTTCACAGTCAGAGAAAGCACGGCTGGATTTAGGTTTGTTGAGGCCCTAAGCCACCAGAGGTAATGGAGCCCTTTATATGTCCAGATGTCCTTTGTCAACAACAAATTGTCACTGTTTTTTGTGTTGAATATATCCTAGACAGTGGAACCTCGGGTTACGTACTGTCCTCCTTATGAACGCTTTGGGATATGAGCTCCACTAACCCGTAAGTAGGTCTCCCGGTTGCAAAGTAACCTTGAAGTCGCGTGACGGCAGCAGCGGGAGGCACCATTAGCAAAAGCACGCCTCAGGTTAAAAACAGTTTTGGGTTAAGAACAGACCTCCGGAACAAATTAAGTGTTGGGATACTGCCAGGGAGACAAAGTCCATCATGGCCCCCAAGCCGCCTCCGGACGTCCATCGATCTCCCGTAGACACGCAGTATCAGCAATTAGCGACACGAGCCCCAGAAATAGCCTGCCACATTCCAGAGCCGATGCACGCTCTATCAGCAGATAATGCACAGCGAAAGATGCACGCAGGAGAGCATTATTTACAAGTTTATTCAGCGTTGATCAGAACAAAGAAAACATGACTGCCTGCTTCATGTTTCAGACACAGAGAGAGAAACGAAAGCATAGACACAACAGAAACATCCTGTGAACAGGAAATGCGCAGGCTGTGACACAAACATCCTGCTCCCTTTTAAGGTGGAACGGAAATATCCTAAATATTCTTAACCCGAAGTACCACTGTACAGTTGTACCTTGGGTTACAGATGCTTCAGGTTACAGACGCTTCACGTTACAGACTCCACTAACCCAGAAATAGTACCTCGGGTTAAGAACTTTGCTTCAGGATGAGAACAGAAATCGCGCGGTGGTGGCGCGGTGGCACCATTAGCTAAAGTGGTGTCTCAGGTAAAGAACAGTTTCAGGTAGGTACCACTGTATGGTAATTTATGGACCTGATATGTATCTAAAGCCATTTGCACATGTTGCCATGCAGAATGTAGGCACCCTCTTTATAGAAATGAGCAAACCAGTGGTATTTTAGGGAGCAGGTTAGAAGGGGGTACCTTACAGTGGTACCTTGGGTTAAGAACTTAATTCATTCTGGAGGTCCGTTCTTAACCTGAAACTGTTCTTAACCTGAGGTACCACTGTAGCTAATGGGCCCTCTTGCTGCCGCTGCACGATTTCTGTTCTCATCCTGAAGCAAAGTTCTTAACCCAAGGTTCTATTTCTGGGTTAGCGGAGTCAGTAACCTGAAGCATCTGTAACCCGAGGTACCACTGTATTATGTTTTTATATATGTTTGAAGGCACCCAGAGTGGCTGGGGCAACCCAGTCAGATGGGCGGGGTACAAATAATAAAATTATTATTATTATCATTATCATCATCATTATTATTATTATTATTATTATTTTGTTATTTGTACCCCACCCATCTGGCTCGGTTTCCCCAGCCACTCTGGGCGGCTTCCAACAAAGATGAAAAATACACTAAAATGTCACATATTAAAAACTTCCCTGAACAGGGCTGCCTTCAGATGTCTTCTGAATGTCAGGTAGTTGTTTTTCTCTTTGACATCTGGTGGGAGGGCGTTCCACAGGGCGGGCGCCACTACCAAGAAGGCCCTCTGCCTGGTTCCCTGTAACTTGGCCTCTCGCAGTGAGGGAACCGCCAGAAGGCCCTCAGAGCTGGACCTCAGTGTCCGGGCAGAACGATGGGGGTGGAGACGCTCCTTCAGGTACACTGGGCCGAGGCCATTTAGGGCTTTAAAGGTCAGCACCAACACTTTGAATTGTGCTCGGAAACGTACTGGGAGCCAATGTAGGTCTTTCAAGACCGGTGTTATATGGTCTCGGCAGCCGCTCCCAGTCACCAGTCTAGCTGCCGCATTCTGGATTAGTTGTAGTTTCCGAGTCACCTTCAAAGGTAGCCCCACGTAGAGCGCATTGCAGTAGTCCAAGCGGGAGATAACCAGAGCATGCACCACTCTGGCGAGACAGTCTGCAGGCAGATAGGGTCTCAGCCTACGTACCAGATGGAGCTGGTAAACAGCTGCCCTGGATACAGATTTGACCTGTGCCTCCATGGACAGCTGTGAGTCCAAAACGACTCCCAGGCTGCGCACCTGGTCCTTCAGGGGCACAGTTACCCCATTCAGGACCAGGGAATCCTCCACACCTGCCCGCCTCCTGTCCCCCCAAAACAGTACTTCTGTCTTGTCAGGATTCAACCTCAATCTGTTAGCCGCCATCCATCCTCCAACCGCCTCCAGACACTCACACAGGACCTTCACTGCCTTCACTGGTTCTGATTTGAAAGAGAGGTAGAGCTGGGTATCATCCACATACTGATGAACACCCAGCCCAAACCCCCTGATGATCTCTCCCAGTGGCTGCATGTAAATGTTGAAAAACATGGGAGAGAGGACAGAACCCTGAGGCACCCCACAAGTGAGAGCCCAGGGGTCTGAACACTCATCCCCCACCACCACTTTCTGAACACAGCCCAGGAGGAAGGAGCGGAACCACTGTATGGCAGTGCCCCCAGCTCCCAGCCCCTCAAGACGGTCCAGAAGGATGTTATGGTCGATGTTATCAAACGCCGCTGAGAGATCCAGCAGAACTAGGAAACAGCTCTCACCTTTGTCCCTAGCCCGCCGGAGATCATCAACCAGTGCGACCAAGGCAGTTTCAGTCCCATGATGAGGCCTGAATCCTGACTGGAAGGGATCCAAATGGTCTGCTTCTTCCAGGCGTGCCTGGAGTTGTTCAGCAACCACTCGCTCAATCACCTTGCCCAAGAATGGAATATTTGAGACTGGGCGATAATTGGCCATCGTGGCCGCATCTAAAGATGGTTTTTTTAAGAAGCGGTTTAATAACCGCCTCTTTCAGCGGGTCTGGGAAGGCTCCCTCATGGAGGGAAGCATTCACCACCCCACGAAGCCCATCGCCCAGTCCTTCCCGGCTAGCTTTTATAAGCCAGGATGGGCAAGGATCCAGGAGACAGGTGGTTGGCTTCACTTATCCAAGCAGCCTGTCCACATCCTCAGAGGTAACAGGTTGGAATTGATCCCACGCAACTTGACTAGACAGGACTCTTGGACGTGCCCAAGGATTAAGGCTTTCTGGGAGATGATATATAACGAATTGAAAAAGGTATTTAAATATACCTTCTTGAAGAAACCAGAGGCCTTTCTCCTGGGCATAGTCGGCCAACTGGTGTTAAAGAAGGATAGAACTTTCTTTATGTATGCCACAACAGCAGCAAGAATACTTATTGCAAAGTATTGGAAGACACAAGACCTACCCACTCTGGAAGAATGGCAGATGAAGGTGATGGACTACATGGAATTGGCGGAAATGACTGGCAGAATCCGAGACCAGGGAGAAGAGTCGGTGGAAGAAGATTGGAAGAAATTTAAAGACTATCTACAGAAATATTGCAAAATTAATGAATGTTAGAATGATGTTGGAATGAAGCTAGGTGGTTTAAGCAGTAATGCCGTAAAGGTGTATGTGAAAAAGGATTGATAACAGATGAAAATTTAAAGTTATAGTATATTAAGTTAAAGGATTATGAGGAAACAAAGAGGGAAATAAATTGCTGACTTAACTAATTGAACTGGAATACAAAAAAGGGAGGTATGAGGAGGTCAGGGAAACAAGGATATGAATCTAAGCTATGGAAAGATTGATCTATTTATTTATTTATTTTTAAAGTGTCTTTTATTCTTTTATTCTGTATTTTGTATTTTGTACTTTTCTTGTATTTTTACTTCTTGTTTTTGTGTAATTCTTTTTTCTGAAATTTCAATAAATATCATATAAAAAACAAAACAAAAGGACTTTAGCACTCTCCCGCCCCGGCCCTGCTCCCACGGTGGAGTCTACTTCTTCCCGAATCTGAGCGATTTTATCTGCAAAAAACTTTGCAAAATCATTGCAGGAGATCATGTGGCCCATACTGGGCCCAGATGTTGCAGGTGGTTCCGCTAAATTGTGAACCACCTGAAAAAGTCTCCTGCTGCTGTTTTCTGCAGATGCAATAGAGGCGGCGAAGAAAGTCTTCTTCGCCGTCGCTATTGCCACTTGGTAGGCTCGACGTTGAGCTCTAACCTGTGTCCGGTCAGATTCAGAATGAGTTATTATTATCATTATAGAATAGGACCTCTCTATTTACACTGGAGAAATGTTGGAGGGTATTTTATAGGGGCATCTGCCTGGCTATGATGACAACCAAGTGCTGGACTAGATGGGCTTGATCCAGCTCTTCGCATTAAAACTTTTAAGTTCCTAAGGACTACAAAGAATGCAATTACGAAATTAAAGCACTGCATAAATCGTGCTGGTTAGAGTCACCAAAGGTTGCTTAAAGCCATCTTGGAATACCTGGTCTCTGCCCTTTTGAGGCACTTGCAGTCAGCAACCCTCCAAGACATTGCCAGTGGGCTTCTCAAGGAAGTTCCCCAAAGAGTTGACTCAGCCCGTTGTAAAGCGGCCAGCCTTGCTTACGGCCGGCACTATAAATCCTGCAAATGAGATGTTGGTGACATTATAGACGTGTTTTGCTAGGTTTTCCAGCTGAGTGTCAGGCCACAGGAATAATTTATCCCCTGCGATCCTGGTTGCGGGGGGTGGGATGGGAGGTCGGGAAATCCAAGAACAGAGCGGTCCATAATATATTCCTTTTAAGATGCCCTCGCTTTTTTTCTCGGGACTGCCTGAGAGGGGCTGGTGCAAGGTTAGCTAAGACAGTCCCTGCCTGCAGGCTTAAAAAAAGAAAATCTCTTGCAACATTATGCTTTCCACAGTTGGCCACACACCCTAGACCAGGGGTAAGCAAACTTTTTCAGCAGGGGGCCGGTCCACTGTCCCTCAGACTTTGTGGAGGGCCGGACTATATTGGGGGGGGGGATGAATGAATTCCCATCCCCCACAAATAAGCCAGAGATTTACAGAAGATTGGAAGAAGCAGATGAATTATTTGAAGAGCAATTATTTGTAATCAACAAATTACACTAGTAGGACTACAAGACGTTTTGTAAGGAGAAATATACAAAGTGTTACAAAGCAGAAAAAGATAGAGATGTTGGTTATGAGTTTGAAATGTAATAGGGAAGATAAGAAATGCATACTGAGAGAGTAGATTGGAAAATTTTCAGACAGGATTGATGGAAGTCAAAAAAATTGAATAATATGTAAAAGTGTGTTTAATTACTGTCGAAAATGATACGTTTAAAAACTAATAAAATAATATATAAGAGATAAAACTATCATATATATATATATATATATATATATATATATATATGTATATATGAATGATGCATTTTAAATAAAAGCACACATTCTGCTCATGTAAAAACACGCTGATTCCTGGACCATCCGCCGGCTGGATTTAAAAGCTGATTGGGCCGGATCTGGCCCCCGGGCCTTAGTTTGCCTACCCATGCCCTAGACTCCCTAGGACAGCTTCAGAGTGAATCTTTCAAGATGCAGAGGAGAGATGCCAGCACATGCAAAGATGACTCCTGTGCTAGATGTCAGTGATGGATATTGCGGCCTGTGTTTTGTTAGCCCAAAAATGCAAAAGAAGTGAGGTCCCAGCCAAAGAAGAGTGGCAACTTAAGTTGCAGCTTGCAGACTTAACATATAGAATACGAGATACACTGAAATAGCAAAGTTAACTGAAAGACTTCAAGACAAGGACAATGGAGATTTTAAGAAAGACTGGGAAGCATTTATGTCATATTTACAGAATCAATACAAAGAAATGGACTCACTAGCAGGGTTTGATTAAACACTTGCAATGAACAAAATAAATGTAGGAAACAGAATGAGCATGTCAAAACAATGAGGAGAAGAGGAATTAATTTTAAAAAATTTAAAAACTAAGAAATAACAAGGAGAAGATAATATGACAAAAAACCAGAAGAGGAAGTTGAGGGAAGTCGCGGAGGGGAATTCTGGTGCTGGAGGAGACTCTTGAGAGTCCCATGGACTGCAAGAAGATCAAACCTCTCCATTCTGAAGGAAATCAGCCCTGAGTGCTCACTGCAAGGACAGATCCTGAAGCTGAGGCTCCAAGACTTTGGCCACCTTATGAGAAGAGAAGACTCCCTGGAAAAGACCCTGATGTTGGTAAAGATGGAGGGCACAAGGAGAAGGGGACGACGGAGGACAAGATGGTTGGACAGTGTTCTCGAAGAGACCAGCATGAGTTTGACCAAACTGCGGGAGGCAGTGAAAGACAGGAGTGCCTGGCGTGCTCTGGTCCAGGAGGTCACGAAGAGTCGGACACAACTAAACGACTAAACAACAACAATGACACGAAAGGGCACTGGGTAAGAATTGTAAGCTTCCGCCTACACTGATGCCTCTTTCTCTCTCTCTTATACTGTACTAGGTGAGCACACAAAAATGTGAATTCTCCAATCAGGACAATGCTTGAGCAACATTTCCCTCTACTGGACATTCCATAATATTGCAAAA